GCGGTGCTGTCTGCCTAGTGTACATCTTGTTACTTCGTTTTTCCGGTTTCCAGGATGTTGTGTGTTCAGACGGTCATCTACAGCAGTGGTTTCGTGTTAGCCCTGACTTTATAGACTCTCTGTTGCAAACCTGGTGTTTGTCCGTAGGAGGGGATCCCCTGGCGGCCGAAGTGCTGTCCACGGTGTGCATCGATGACCGGTGGTTTTTTACACGTATATAGATCTTTTAGAGCAACGCGTACCTATACTGTCTCTGCTATGGTGGACGAAGTTTGAACACTTGTTGGAGACGAGTGAGGTCACGGAGACAATAGTTGCAGCTTTACTAGTTTTGTCACACAGTCTGGGTCGCGCTTCAGTGGCAATGTTTCGAAGCATGGATGCAGCACCTTGCATAGCGCCAGTGATCGCTCCTAGCACTCCTGCACGTTCTTCGCGCGCGGCCGATGCTTGCATACCTGCTACTGAATGGCAAATATTTCTGGAATCAGAAAAGAAAGATTTGTGAACGACTAATTCGTTTTCAGTCCGTTCGCACTATCTGCAGGTTTTATTCTTCTCCTGAGACGCACCAGTGGCAACCACAGATCTTGCTGGACACTCCATCTCCGGAATCTGATATGTCCGAAAGCTTGAGTATTCCAAAGGGAGATGAACCTCCACATCACCTTCAAGCAAAACTGGAGTATTGGCGGAAGAACTCCAGAGAGTGGGTGCCTGCGGATGCATCTGCCCAGGCTGGAAAGTGGTGCATCAGCTGGAAAGTGTGCATCAGGCTGGAAAGTGGTGCGTACGTGGACTGTCTGCGCTGGTCTCACTTGAAGCTAGTGAGAATGACCTTGCTAGCGCTCGTCGCTCTGTTGAAACTCTACTTTTCGAAGCCTGTCCCTCCGTCGAACGACGAGTTGGCATCTTCGTTGGGCATGTCGGGACATTCGAACACTTCCTTCAGTCAGGTCACAACCACTTTGTGGAATCATGAAGTGCTTTGCTGGCATGATCGGCAGTCTTCGCGGCGTTTGAGTGGAGTTGTTGAGGCAGACGCGACATCTCTAAGGAAATGGAGGGACGAGCGTGGAAAAAATTAACTACCTCCAAGTTTTGGGATTGACGCAAAGGCCGCCTGACAAGGCCACTTCGAGAGAGGCACGTACAGCAGCTTGGGTGTGGTTTCTGCAAAAGCAGGAGGTAAACCGCCGCCTGAATCCAAGGAACGCACTTTGCGTTGCCATGGAGGACATTGCTCCCAAGGCCAAAGATCGGGCCAAAACAGTTCTGGTGACGGATGGGGCTCCAGCATATGTAGCTTTGGCTAGGCAGTTTGGACTGGCGCACTTGTCATGCGACCACAGCCAGGGAGAGTTTAACGTTGTCAAGAGAAGGGGCCACAGCCGTCACTGGATGTCAACACAGGTTCCATATAGATCCATATAGATGGGTTTTGGGCTCGCGCGAAGATGGCAATTCCCACATCCATGCACACACTGATGTCCAATGGTGAAGTCAACCCCAAAATCTTCAAGAGTGTCCAAAGCTACTGTTGGAGGTCGGAAAACACAAGTAAAGATTGATGCTGTGTACAGGAAACACCGTTTCGAACAACCTTCGATGCTGACGGGAAAATGGTCCAAACGCAACGCTTGGGTAGAGTTGTTCGAATTTGTGATTTGTGTTTCGCTGTAGCGAAATCACAAAATGCCTTCAAAGGTCCCCCCAAAAAAGTGCAAATTTCATGGGTGCGTTTGTGAGAAAATGTATTTTGCTGAAACGCAAATTTTGCTTGAAAACCTTTGCAAATGAGATGCGCAAGACTTGGTTTTTGTTAGTTGAATGTGCCGAATCGCAGGTTTTGAGAGGTTTTTCAACCCACTAGTTGAAGGTTGACGACAAAAAACGCAAAAACACAGGCGCAGTTGTCAGCCCGGCGGGTTTTGGATGTTTTGATGGTGTTTCCGTGATGCTTTGCTGGTGTTTTGGTGATGTTTGGTGGTGTCTCGGTGACGTTTTGATGGTGCTTTGGTCATGTTCTGGTGGTGTCTCGGTGGTGCTTTGCTGGTGTTTTGGTTATGTATGGTGTCTTGGTGACGCTTTGCTAGTTTTTCGGTCAAGTTTTGGTGGTGTCTTGGTGATGCTTTGCTGGCGTTTTGGTTCTGTTTTGGTGGTGTCTCGGTGATGAGGTGCTTTGGTCCTGTTTTGGTGTTTTGGTGGTGTCTCGGTGATGCTTTGCTGTTGTTTTGGTCCTGCATGCCTAGCTGGCGGAGCTTTGCATGGATTATGGTAGACAAGGGGACGGGCAGAGATTGTGGCGGTATTGGCTGCGGTGAGGATTGGTGTTCGTTCTGGCAGACGCACTCGTATTTGGACGGACTGTGCCAATGTGGTGACCAAGGTACAGGCAATCCTGGATGATCCCTCAGTTAGGAGACCCAACGCGTTTGACGCTGACTTGTGGGAGCAGGTGTCCATTGAGCTGAGTCGTGAACATGTCATCACCATTCACAAAGTCGCTGCGCATGCTGGCACCGAAGTCGTAGGTCCGGTTGAAGATTGGGCCCGACGACACAATGACCTGGTAGATGCTTCTGCCAAAGGTTTTAACCATGATAGGCCCGGTGAATTCTGGAGTTCGTGGAGTCGACTGCTGGCCCAACTTCAGGCCGCTGAGGCCGTTGGTGACTACATCATTCAGCTCCATTGCACTATTGGAGAGGAGTCCATTCGCTTGAGCAAGACCACAGGTCCCATTCCTGTGGGTGATCACCGTCCGGAGGCCCGCCTCCCATTGGCTCAGTGTGTGAATTTTCCTGCTGATAGAGTCCTGCCGGATGATTTGAAAGGGTTGTTTGGCTCTCTCCAGGCTGGGCGCTTGTGGACATGGATGCGAGTGATTTGTACTGGTCACATTTGGGGCAGCTGGGTATCCATGGCGCAGCTATATGTGGACTACCAATTATCTTTTGGTACAGTGGGCCCCATCTACCATTCTGACACCAGACATTGGAGTGATCCGAATTTGCCTGGGTTAGAACGCCTTCGTGGCCATGAATTTCCGAAGCAGGTCCAATGGTTCGGCCGAGCCGTGCGGATGATATTGCAATACTTTCAGGCTCACAGACTTTTCCATTTGCAATGCCCTGATTCGGTGGTCTTGTCCCACTGGGTCAGTGTTTGCCGGTGGCATGGTCCCCAGTGCGAAGGGATGCAGTGGATAGCTGGCTCCAGAAGCATTTACCTGGAGGAGCAACGCGCCGTAGGGCAGCGGGGTTGGCTTGCTTACCGATGGCAGGGCAGGATCAGCGTCTTGCCGTTCCCATTCCTGAGGATCGTCAGAGATCCATTCGACATAGCTGGCAGTCGACATGACATGCCTCTTCTCAACTGTTTAGGCCGCAAAATGCCGCCTTCTCAGATCGGCGTGAAAGAGTGAAAGAGTGTTGTTTTGGTCCTGTTTTCGGTGGTGTCTCGGTGATGCTTTGCTGTTGGTTTGGTCCTGTTTTGGTGGTGTCTCGGTGATGCTTTGCTGGTGTTTTGGTGCTGTCTCGGTGATGCTTGGCTGGTGTTTTGGTCATGTTTTGGTGGTGTCTGAGTGATGCATTGCTGGTGTTTTGGTCCTGTTTTGGAGGTGTCTTGGTCCTGTTTTGATGGTGTCTCGGTGATGCTTTGCCGGCGTTTTGGTCCTGTTTTGGTGGTGTCTCGGTATGTTTTGGTGGTGTCTCGGTGATGCTTTGCTGGTGTTTTGGTCCTGCTTGGTGTAGCTAAAGAATTTGCGAAGGGAACGTTAGGACCTGTTTGGTGGCAGGGCCACCGCCCCGTTCACTTTGTGAGTTGAATTCCTGATGCATTTTTGCGCGAAAGCACGAACTCGGTCCCAAAAGCTTGTTGCTACGCTGGAATTGTTGCTGGCGATCACGTTTTTCATCGGTCTTCTCTGTGGTTGGTGCTTGCGATTGTGTTTGGGAGTGGCTTCATCTGGTGCACAGGGTGCTTGACTGCTACAGAGTGTGCGCAAGTGTTATGGCGTTGACGGCGCTGCCAACTCCCACCGAATTGCCCACTATTACCACTATCGATGATGCTCGTCAGTGGGCCGGTGTGGCGCCGGCTGTGCGGGCTGCTATGAAAAATCATTTGGGTACAGTGAATTCTTTCCGTGTGGTAGCCTGTGTTCCTGCCAATCTTTGGAAGAAGGACTTGGAAGACGTGCGGATTGCCGTTCCGCGTCCGACAGGTGCTGCAGCAGATGCTCCTCCCCGAGAATGTTCGGGTGTCTTGGTGATGCTTTGCTGGTCCTTGGCCATGTTTTGGTGTGTCTCCGTGATGCTTTGCTGGTGTTTTGGTCATGTTTTGGTGGTGTCTTGGTGATGCTTTGCTTGTG